GGCAGAGGCTGACTTCAAAATCAATCGATGCCACGAGGGAGATTGCGCGTCGCAATCCAAGACACACGGCGGGTGCTCCAAAGCCCGGAAATCTACTTCTAACCGCTGTGTCAAACACTGCTCACGAAGCTCAGGGATCTAGTGATCATGGCGATAGCCGCCAAGTACTATGCACCGAGTTCCACTCCCAGCTCGGCTATCTCTACCTGCTGTATCTAAACAAGGAAGAAACCGTCGGTCGTGGAGTGCAGTGATGGGTGAGAGCCACACCGAAACCCTCCACTAGTTTGCATTTCGATAGAGCAAAGCATAGCGCAAAACGATAGACAGCCAGTACTAATCGGTCCAGTGCTGCTTGGCATGTTCGGGAGCTGTCACAGACAATATCGTCCTCATACTCCAAGTCAAGAAGTCGCTCACCAGGAAGTAGCTCCACACCTATATCGTGTTCAGCAGATACTGTTTCCATGACTTCGTCAACTGCGAAGTTACATAGGAAGGGTGACAGCGGGCAATCTTGTCTCATACCGCTGGTGATACTGAAGGGTGGCGACAGTTTGCCATAAACCCTCACTGTGCCCGAACTATGCGCGTACAGCGCTTTGATAATGTTTATATATTTATCAGGCAAACCTTTTCTCAGCAGACAGTCCCAAAGGGCTCATCGATGGAGTGAGTCGAAGGCACCTTTTATGTCAAGATACACGACAACGGTGGGTCGCCAATAAACATGGCGGTGCTCCAACAAATGAAGCAAGGTGAAGATGTAATCGGTGCAGCTCCGACCTCGACGAAATCCGGCTTGTTCTTCACAAATCTGGCTTTTACCAGTGCCAGTCAGTCTGTGGAGAGTGACAGAGTCAAGCAATTTAGAAGCAATTGAGATCAGACTGGTCCCTCTACGAGTGCCGCATTCCGAACGGGAGTTTCCCTAGAAAATTGGGACAATGACGGAGCTGCTTCAGTCTGTCGGGATACTCTCCTACTCCCAAACTTTCACTAGCAAGTCGTGTGAATCATCTATTAGAGCAGGTCCCCCGAATTTGATGAGGGCTGGGGAAATTCTATCTGCCCCTACTGCCTTATGCAATTTCAACAGCCTGATCTCACGTTCGACTTCTGCACGTGAGGGCGGATCCAAGGAGACGACCCAGGGAGAAGTGCGCTCAATACCCGAGAACGAAAGTGATAACTCGTGTTGGTTAAATTGCCTTGCAAATTGTTAGGACTAACGCTCCAAACGTTCTGACAGGCTGTGGATCGGCTGCCCACTCTCCTCACGTATGGTCTCACTAACACCAGCTCTCCTGCTGCCTATTACCCATATCAGACAGAATAACTTACTATGATTACCGACGGTGACGACTGTTTCCATCTCCGAGGCGCGATGAGACCACCAGGCTTCGCGATCTTTCTTCAGGCTATCACGCACTTTTGCGTTGAGATTTTTGCGAGCCTCATTGTATTCGCTTCCACTCGGAATACGTCGGCGAGCATCCATAATTTCCAGAGACTGTGTAGAGACCCAATGTCCATTTTGGCCATTTGATTTGCCTCATGAAGACATGGCTGCTGATAGTAACGTTAGACGAATATGCGACCAGTGATCTTCGACGGTGTTCATTGGGCGTTTACTCAGCCCAGATGTCAGCGCGCTTTGATACACAACCAGAACACCTGGCTTCGCCAGCTGACTGATGTCAATCCGTTCACATCGATGTTGCGGACGTCCACCGAAACGCATCCGGAGGTCGGCACAAACAAGTGTGTGGTCAAAGTCCACGCTCGTGCTGCAAATCGAGCGACAATTTTGGACCCAGCTTCTCTAGCGGTAACTGATCGCGATGCGATCAATTTGCGTCCATCGCTGGTGCGAAGCTGATGAACGCCAAGTCACGCTTCTGCGGATGCTGTCTAAAGTTTGTGCTCGCGAGAAAGAGACGAGCATCTTCACACAGCTGTAGCAATCGATCACCGTTATCATCACGGGAGCGTACACCATGTTGGCTACCCAGATGACGCTCATCAGAGGACATTTCTCCTACTTGCACGTTTAGGTCGCCAGCCAACACCACAGTATCCGTGCTTCTTCTGTAACGAAGGAGATCCTGTAGTTGCTGATGGAAATCATCTTTCACCGAATCAGTGCCACGGTTTGTGGGGGTGTAAGCCGCAATGACAAACTGGCACCGTTTGTTCCCGCGCGACTTCGTAGCACGGAACGAACCAGCTAATCTAACGGCGCACATCCTACTGTTTACTGGGATCCAGTCGATCAGGGCAGCTTCAGCCCGAGGACTCAAAGCAATGCCGACACCAGCTTGACCGGCATTTGAAGCTGCATCATCGCCAGACAGGCGCATTGAGAATGTGGCGCCAGTGTTGCATGTGGGGGATCGCAGGGTAAGTACGGAGCTCGACTCTTGCAGGCCAGTTTCTGATAGACTGCAAATATCGATTGATAGGGTCTCTAGTGTGCGGGCAAGTGCTGCATGTTGGCCAATCTGTAACAAAGTTCGCACGTTGAGGTATGCCAGTCTTAGAGAGACTCGAGGACTCCAGCGGGAAATGAATGAACTGACGTTGTCCGCATGGTTGAATATGGACTTGTCGACTGGATTGGAGCGACGCCCTGCTACTGTGTGTGTTGAAACTAGAAGACAAGCGACTATTGAATCAAGGTGGGGGGCAGGAATTGGGGGTTTGGAAATGGGGAGATAAAAGTATAGTTGGAGCGGGACAATAAGAGTGAAAAAGCACAAGAAGAGAAATAAGAAGACGAGAAGGCCTGGGTAGTAGCATCCAAACCCCATCCACCCTGCTCGATGCAGCAGATAGGGCACGGTTGTTTATCCTCTGCGACGGCCAGAGCATCAAGAAATAGTTTGTTGAAGGGTTCATTGTATTGCGTGGACCGAATACGGTCAGGTTGCCCAGGCCTAGACATGAGAACGATTAGGGTTCTCAACCAAAGCCTTTGGTTCAAAAACCTTACCGCAAGGCAGCGGGTTTCGGCACTGGACTACAGAGAACCCGTTTTATGAAATAAGGAGCTACCCTCATTCCAACCCTCAATCTGGAGGGTCAGGAGACTGAGTTTATCTGGACTCTAACCATTGACCAATCTGGTATGAATGTCTCTGAAGGTGCAAAAAGCACCACCCAGCATTAATCAATAGATCACTGAAGCACACAAACCATCGCACTGCGTTAAGGTCCAGTCTCTCTAGGCAACTCTGCTAGAAAGTCTGGTGGAAAATATTATGCTTCGTTGTCTTGTTTGCATGACGCTGGAGAGCCTTAGTACCAGTTTCATGATGGTTGCGACCGCTAGGATGTCCGTCCAAGAGTCTTAAGCCTCGTCGAAAGAGATTGGTTGGTTGGCGAAAACATGTGTGCTCTCTCTCACTTTAAGCGCTTCACACAGAAACAACACGATTATCGAAACCAGAACAGCTCCGCTCCCAGGTTGGTTACTGAACATTTAGAAGCATCGTCTAGCAAACCTTCGGAATCGTTCTCATTGCTCGGAACTTCATTGTATTTGTAACCTCCTTGCCCGCAGCGTGCATCAGATCTAATGTGAACTGTGTACTTCACTTCGGAACTGTACCTTACTGCGTTATGCTCCCTTCATCCACCAAACGTTGACAATCTGATCTGGCGCAATATGACTCACCGGCGGTGTGTCTGTGGACTGTCATCATTTCCACTCTTAACTTGGCTTCGGGAAGCCCTATTAGTTTCCAAATTGCTTACGGGTATCTTAATTCCTAGCTTCATTATAAAACATGAACACCAAACACTTCGTTCCCCAACATGCGGTACCTTAACTCTACATGTTCAGGCGACTCTCTGTTGAAGATCGTGTACCATGATCGCTTGCTTTGATTAGAGAGCTGCACTTATTTCCACGTGCTCTTTAATGTCACAGTGCATTGATAGGCGACATGCTATTACTTCAGCTAGCTTACTCAGTGATTGTAAGCTGAAGAGCGCCCATTTTCCTGGGACCTTGTTCAGATTCATTTGGCACCCATCTTTGTGAAAACGTTTTATCAGATTCAACACTCGTCTTTTCGCTACTTTTATTCAGAAGTCAGCCAAATGCTTTGTTTAGTTAGGTAGTTTTGTCGCCACGAAGCCTATAAATGGCGTACTAACGCTTGGATGAGACGATGCGAGTAACGATGTTCGCTGGTTCGGATTGCTTTCTATGTGTTGGTCTGACAAAGTCCTTCGACGATACATGTATCCTTTACACTGCTTTTTCAGATGTCATCGTCCATACAACGAACTGCAGCTGACTAAGCGCGATATCGAGTGACTTCCTAACCATCTTTGAGCAGTAAAAACGGGAGGTTGCCTCATGCTTACCCCATAGCTGCAGCTCTCAGGTTAGTGGTGGACGAGGTCGGCTTGCCAAATTTGACGCAAACTAGATAGCGTGGCACCCACGGTGAATATGTAGCCTTTAGCACTAACCATTGACTTCCTGTGGCATGTTCAGGCAGTTCATAGTGCCAAGGAAACCTTTAAAAAGATCTCTTGTTCGTCACTATAAAATGTTTCACCTTGTGTCTTGTATTGAAAGTTGTTGGTATATTCTTCATCTTTTGAGTTGGAGTTTTGTGACGAAGCCCGCAATCTTATATGTCATACCGTCCATAAGATGAGCATGAATATCAAATTAATCAAGAACCAATTTGAATGAACACCCAGTAGTTGTATTTCGCTTCAATTCCCTCTCTTTTCGTTTTGCCTTGACCTAACGCTTGGTTATCGCCTCTTATTTGTCTGGCTCATGCTCATGTCGGCGGGGTGTTTTATTTGCTTTGCTTAGAATGCAGCGCTTTTTTCACTGCCCACGTTGAAATCTTTCGGGCCGTTATAGCTGTCACATCCTGTTTGTGTTCTCTTTCTATCTCATGTATTTTTTCCGATGTTCCCATCCACAGTTTATACCTGTCACGCCCCGTTTTTCTCTCATATCGCTGCAGGTCCCCTTCCTCTATGTTTCCGGGAGCAGCTTTGAAGAGGTATTCGTGGGGATGGGAGCATCTAGAGTGCGCCAACTGTTTGCAACTGCTAAGCAGAACGCCCCCTGTCTCATCTTTGTTGACGAAATTGATTCCGTTGGCCGTAACCGAACTTCCTCGCCACATCACCCCTACGCTAATCAGACAATCAATCAACTACTCGCTGAAATGGACGGCTTCCAACCCACTGAAGGAATCATAGTATTGGGTGCTACCAATCAGGCAGATGATTTGGATAAAGCGCTGCTCCGACCAGGGCGCTTTGATGTTCAGATTCACGTTTCACCACCAACATTCGAGGTAATGGTATCCAGGTGTAACAATCATTTTACGCAAGGTTTTCACTCCCCTTACTTTTATTTGTATTTTTCTTTTTCCAAGTTGCGGGTGCATTGACCACATCTTCGCAGTACGTCAATTACGTGGGTACCACCATATTTATCGGCGACCCACCATGGTCGTGTTCCTCGACATCTAAGGTGTCTTCAGTTCGGTTGGTCCATGTGCCCTTTGGGACTGTCTACTCAGGAAAGGTGTGCCCGAGAAAATACATAGACATTATCAGAGCACTTTATGCGCATAGTTCGGGTAGAGTAATGGCTTACGGAAAGCTCTCGCTACCCTTCAGTATCTCCAGAGCTGTGAGACAATGTCCTCTTTCTTTTTTATCTCCTCCATTGACGAAGTCACGGCGACTGTGTTTACTGGACACTATATGCAAGGTGTGGAGCTGCTCTCAGGGGCTGGACTTCTTGACTTAGAGTATGTCGACTACATTACCCTAATCTGTGACAGCTCCCAAACACGCAAAGCAGCGCTGGACCGATTAGCACTGGCTGTCACTCGTTTTTAGCTATGCTTCGCTCCATCGAAATGCAAATTCCTGCGTCGACCCTTGGCAGTGATCAGCTTGAAGTCGTCGATAGATTCAAGTATCTGGGCAGCTGTATCAGCACCAGTGGAATATATGTGATCGTGAACCGAGGGGACTTTGCCAATCTCTGCCATCCGTGACGCCCGCGTGACCATCACTCTCGACCTGAATGGCAGAGTTTACAATGTAGCCATCCGTTCAACTCATCCCTACGGTTGCAAAACGTGTCCTGTCAAGTCGGCAGACGTAAATAGGCTAGTTACGTTCGACCATCCCTGCGTTCGCGGTATAGCTCGTGTCTGGTGGGAGCACCGCGTGAGCAATGTGCGTGTTCAACGCCATGTTTATGGCACAGAAAGTGGTAGCGAACCCTGCTCAGCACCAATGGTTGGACTACATGTTTGTCCATGCCTTCACACCGGCTCCTGCGACGTACGTTGTTTGCGCGGCCGTGGTCTTTATAGATGAAGAGGGCAGGTTGAGCAGTGACTTTCTCAAGAGTTATGAAGTCGCTCACTTCGAAGTTGACTTCGGTTAGTGTCTTCCGACTGCCGTGCTTGGATCCGAAGGACGACGAACACGTCTGGTTGAATACACCTGTTGACTTTGCAAAGAGCCGATCTTAGTGGCGTTTGTGTTGTGATTTTCGTTGTCCCTCTTCACCCCGCTTATCTTCCCTCTCCAACCACGGTCTATGTCCTGAGGCATATAATGTTGCCAATCATTATGTTACTTGTTGCTTTTTGTATTCTGTAACATTCAGTGTCTTGCTATTTCATATATCTTTTTGTATTACGGCACTATAGTTGAAGTGCGCTCCTCATCTTCAGCTAATATGAATACTGAATACTGTATTATAGAGCAAGTAGAAATGGATTCTGTACAACTCTTTCGAAATATTGTGAAAAACATTATAATAGTTGTCAACCGTGAATATCCTTGTCGTTCTCATGTAATATTTAAAATATTCGACTTACGATATTTCAGGATTCACAAATGTGATATGTCATCGTAAGTATGCAGTCGTTCTCTGAATCGAATAGAGGCAAAATGCACATCTAACAACGTTTTGAACTGTTGCACAGATGTTGCCTCAATCACATGTTCGGGCAAACTATTCCAAATGTTTACCACTCTCCGTTCGAAGCACAGTGGGTGGGGAACACGTTTCATATCCGGCACAACAAGTTTGTATCTGTGTCCGCGTGTGCTGCATGGCCCTCGTAAGTGCAGCATTGGCCTTAACATGGGGAACTCACCGAGATGTAGAATTCGGTAGGTCATAATGAGGTCGACTCGTAACCGACGGTAGGACAAGGTGTAGAGTCCTAGTTTCTCGCACCGGTCTTCATACCCAAAGCCACGTAAACTCGGGATCAGCCTGGTAGCAACGTGTTGGACCCGTTCGATCTTTTGTGCCTCGCCTCGGGTAATCGGAAAGTAGGCGGGCGAACCGTACTCTAGCATTGGTCTAATGATAGAAGAGAACAGGCGAGTGGCAACCTCTTCAGACCATGTGCAGAAGCTACGTTTGAGCGCCCAAAGCATGCGCAGTCCGTTCCGATATAGCCTGTTCGTGTTGTCCACGGACTTCAAATCGTAGCGTGAGAGTACACCTAGGTCCTTCACGGAGGGTGTGGGATATAGCGTTTGGCCGTCAAGGGTGTAGGTTCGGCCGTTAGCACCCTTCCCCAGGCTCATAAATACAGACTTGGCTGGGTTGACCGGGAGAAGAACTTCTGCAGACCATGTGGATAAGCGGTTGAGATCTTGCTGAAGTAGGCCACAGTCGTCGGGAGCGTCGATTTCTCTCCAAATCTTCATGTCGTCCGCAAACAAGGCACACGGCGACCGGAGAAGCTGCGGTAGATCGTTTATGTGGATCAGGAACAGAGTGGGCCCCAGCACAGTGCCTTGAGGCACGCCACTTGTAGAGGGGTACCAGTCAGTTAGATGGTCGTCGACCTGTACCCTCCACTTTCGTCCAACAAGAAAGTCGCGGATCCACCGGTGCAGTGAGCCACCGACGCCACACATGCTGAGTTTGTGAAGGAGAACCTCATGACTGACCTTGTCGAACGCTTTACTGAAATCGATGAATATCACGTCGACGGACTTCCCCTTGTTTATTGCCTTCAACCACTCATGCCTCGTCACAAGCAGGTTCGTAATGCATGACTGACCTTGCATAAAACCGTGCTGGGCGGGCGTCAGGACCTCGTTTGATTGTAGCAACTGCAGCAATCTCTTCTTCACGATTTTCTCAGCAACCTTTGCCAATATAGGTGTCAGACAAATTGGCCTGTAATTGTCTAATTTGCTAGGGTCGCCGCCTTTCGGAATAGGCTTCACCACCGCACATTTCCAGTCAACCGGCAACAAACCTTCGGAGAGCGACCTGTTGAAAAGGTCAGTCACGATAGGAGAGAGGATGGTTGAAAGTGACTTGAGAACCAGTGGGTGAAGCCCATCAGGTCCGGCAGGTTTGGTGCCGTCAAGGTTGGCGAGTAGTTGAGCTACCTCTTCGACGCCGCAATGCAGACTATCGAGTTCGGTAAAAGCGGTACACGTCGAACTCGGAACAGACACCTGGTTATTCGCAAATACAGAGGCGAAGTGCGCCGCCAACGCGGACGCACGCTCAGTGCTGGAGGTTAGGGGCTGTCCATCCATGCCATCCAGCACTGGCACATCACCTGACGGTTTCAGGCGTCGCTTCACGTTTTCAGGCGTCGCTTCACGTAGCGCTTCATGTAGCGCTACTGCTGCTTCTGCTGCTGATGATGATGTTCCTATTGCTAATTGATCTCTGAAAGTGCTGTCGGTTCATTCAATCTTTTCCCTCTTGATCTGTTTCTTATCGCTAGCTCGGAACAAACAGTTACTTTTCACGCAACTTGAACTTACCTTGCTCCGATGCTCTGTACTCTTCCACACTCCATTGAGCAAAGCTTAATACCGTTTCCAGGATTCATTCAGAACCACCGGAGTACCACTGATGCCCTTAGTTCTTTCTTTCCGTTTAATGGTACTCAGGAACACTGGTGCGTTAGGCGATTTGGCCAACAAGAACAGGCTACACGGAAAGGGGCTACTCATGCTTTGGGTGCTCAAGCGCAACTTCTGCACTTCTGAAGAGATTGCCACTCTTCTATCGTAAGACGGTCCTTGAGAGCGGTTCACCCGCCTATTGTCTGACCACTCGTTGCGAGATGCAAAAACTAGTACGGTTTCAGCTACCAGACTCATATCCAATCTACGGAGTACGTCGTACAAAGACCGGTGCAAGAGACTAGGACTGTATATTCTGTTGTATCATCGGTTTCGACTGGACCTCATTCTGACGCACTGGATGTTGCATCTGGGTTACTTCCCATCTTAAGGCCACTGCTGCACGTGTGCGCACCAAGCAGCGCTCCCGACCACCGGTACAAGCTCGTAGTGCCAGATCCGAAATGTGTGCCTCATCTCTTATGCTTCCGGTTGCAAGTGGGACAGTTTGCTCGAGATTGTAATCGACGCAAAATCTGTGTCGGAATCAAATCATTCCCTAGGTGCCCGTTTTGTATTGTATTAGTGCCGCTTAAATTGATACGATTTACAAACTCAGAAAGTTAGAGACTAGTATAGATGATAATATTGTACAGATAATAGTGATACACAAAAGAGACACTTATCGCATTTGCTTCTCTCTGGACCGTGGGTCCAAATCGGCTTGCGGACGATGACGACAGCGAGGCTTGTGAACGTGGATGAAGTCGTGCGGATCAGTTATCCGGTCATTTACTTGTCCGTGATGTGTCTTGTTGCGACACAAGTATGCCCGCTTTGTGAGTAGGTGTGAGATAGAGTGCTTCCTCAAACACCCATCCTTGTCACGTTCGTGGGCGCGTGCATGCTCATGGATAGAGGTAAAATTCGATTTTGACGTCTGTGTGTGGACCAACTGGTTGGTTACTTAAGTCTTGCCGTATTAGGTTAAATGGAAAATACAATTCCAAAAGCATACATGTTCTGAGAAAATTATAAACGGACCTAACACCTTTCAACCGAATAGCATATAGCACAGCTGTAACGTGTTGCAAACGCGCAGAAATCAATACCATGATTCCGCGCACATGCCCGATCTATCTACAATAGAGTCACACAAATGTCTACCTACTAGCTTTCCATTTTCAGTACTCTTAGTTGTGCTACCTGGCGTGATTGAGAAATGGGACATCTGTTCTCCGCATCCCACCGCCTTCTGTTGGTGGCTCCAGTCATTGCGAGAGGACTTTACCTTAACAAGTTGTGATGGTTTACATACCTTATTGGTCTGTTGTGCCACGCGGATTGGCACATCCCACGTCCCTTCAGAGCTACTCATGCCAAACCGATCAAGAGTGACGGGTCGGAACAACAGTCGCGGCATTCTCTTGAGTTT